CCCTACACTGTTTGATGCCATCTCGAATAAAATTCCTGAGAAAGACATGGATCTCATCATGGCTGCCTACCAACTTCTTAGGGTAAGAAATACGATGGTGGTGGTGATTCCCCCTTCCACCCCAAGATGAGTTTTTTTTTTTTCCTTTTTGGGGGCATAAGAACGTCTGTTCTGTGTTGTCATATCTCTTGTCAGGAGAAGAAGTTGACGAGAGCGGATTTCGTAAGGAAGCTGAGGTTGATCGTGGGAGATCAACTACTGAAATCCACCATAACAGCTCTTCAGGGCCACGCATGTAACATTTTCACACCCTCCCTCTCCCAAGAATATTATTAGAGAGAGAGAGAGAGAAGGAAGTTTTGCCTTCAATATATTATTGTAATGCCTCTTCATATTGCAGCAGCCAAAGTCGACGAATAAGGTGAGGCCTGGAGGGGAGAGCGAAGGCTCTGCCCAGGTGGGTTTTTAATTAAGTAAGACGATGACGACAGACAGAGCACCAGCTCTGTGTAATTGCTATTTGTACTTTCTCTGTTCCTCAAAAAGGTTTGGAATACATTTTTTTTTTTTTGGTTTTTCTTAGGGCTTGAGAAGGAAATGTGTCGACTTGCTCTGTGTCACAATCATATCATATAATATACCCCTCTCTCTCTCTCTCTCTCTCTCTCTCTCTCTCTCTCTCTCTCTCTCTCTCTCTCTCTCTCTCTCTCTCTCTCTCTCTCTCTCTCCCCTGTGGAGTGAGAGATAATATGAAATAGGATTGTATTACTTAACGTGGTGATAACTTTGGTGTGACGTGGGCAATGTTTTGAAAGAGTCCGGTCAACAGCTTTGTGCTTTTATTTAATGGGATTGGCGTTGGAGAGTTGACACTGAAAATTCCAGAGCTCGTGCTTGCTTGGCGAATAAAACAAAATGTACACACGAACTTTCCTGGTGATGCCAAGAGAAAAGGATTCTTACAATTAAGGCCTCACCAACAAGCGACGGAATCATGTTAACAACGCAAGAAAAGAGTTTAGTGCAGAGTGACGTCATCATCGGAGCATGTGTATATCGATTGAGCAGGCGGTGATTATGGCGAGGTAGCTCCAGCGGCGTCAGTTGAGGGATCCCAGCCAGGAGGCCTGATGTTAGGCCAATCCCCTCTACATCCCAACCTTATGTACAGACTCTTCTTTCCTTTTGTAAAAAAAATAATAATAATAATCCAAAATAAATTCACGGGTTTTAAGATTTTCAATAAAAAAAAAATACAGAAACTCTTTTTCATTGTGTTTTTTGGAGTTTAAAAAGTTCAGGGTTTAGGGTTTAACATACAAGTAACAATGTTTTTCTAGTAATTTTAAAAAGTTGGGATACCTGGAAGTCCCTTGTCTGAGATGATGAGCTGTTTAAGTGCACTGAGACAGCCTTGTGCCACTCTCTTTGCTTGTTCCTCTTCCCACCCCTTCAGCTTCACCACCACATCTGCCTTCGAGTGCCCTCCTCCTCCTCCACCCTCTTTCTTGATTTTTCTTGCCTCTTCTTTTGCCGATTCCTCGTCTGCTTTTAACAACAACATTGTCAAAACAACGAGAGAGAGAGAGTTCTAATGTTCACCACAAATATATGCATTCAGCATGACCTGCGGCCTCTGTCCGGGATACCCAGACGGTAAATCCAGCGTAAAGATGCCTCCATTTATCTGCTCTCCTTGCGGCTCCATGTTCACCTCCTAACGTTGACACAACCGTTCTGACATGGCTGCAACGTTGAACTTAACTCATCGGTGGGCACATCTCTAATGACCTAAACACCTCACGAATCGAAAAAGGGGAATTTTGAATAGACATGTTTGTACCTACTCAAGCTTTCAAACACGAAATTTTCGGCTTCTGTTACAGAATCTGGCCCTTCTGCAATAACCCCTGCAGCAAGAAGAACGGTCCAGAGAAGTCAAGCCTCAGCTGTATTGAGTGACATTGAGAATGAAAACACAGTGGACTCACAAGACTCGATTGTTTGCTTGGAAAAGGTTTCCAGCAGCTCCTTCGTGTCCAGAGGCATGTACCTGCAAAGATTGATATCGACTCAGTCAGTCTCTCAGCAGTTCTTGTCATAAAAGTTGTATACTGCGCCCTTTAGCCGAAGGGCACAAAGGAGGTGTGATAACCTGAAAACGAGCTGCAGAAAAAGGTGCAGTAAGTGAAATATTGAAGCATCATAGATTGTCAAAATCAGATATCCGGCTTACCCAAGGCCAACTGCTAGTTCCCGAGCCACTTTTTGGTTTATTTCAGTTGAGTCTCCAACAATATAAATAGATGCCCCTTTGAGGAGTTGCATCATTCCTCCTGTCAAAGACTCCCAAGATTCCACAATATCAGGCCATTTCAGTTCTTCATCCTGCTTCTTCATGTTTATAACTAGCTGGTCATCATCTATATACCTGTAAGAAAAAAGAGACTTAAGCCCCTGCCCTGCATGAGTGGTCAAATTCAGTAACTTCACGCATGATCAATGCATCACTAACCATATCGTTTCAGAGGGCTTTATTTTTTCGAAGAGTTGGTTAGTTTCCAGAAGTGTAATCTGCATTCCATATCTCTGTTCCTTAACAAGTAAAGATGTCCCGTCTGCGTCTACATATATATCTTTTGGAGAAGGATTTTCTCCAGACTTTAGACGTAGCCTTAGTTCCACTTCAGAGCCAGTATCCATGAACTGCATCATACGTTCAACACGCTGAGCTGGACACGCATAAGCCGCATAAAATGCTGAAGATAAACTTGACTCTGTTTGCCTCCCCGCAATGTTGAAATTGGATTACGCACACTTGTGTATATGTGTGTGTATATGTTTCATGCATGTTTGAGGCATACCCAGACATTCCACAAAGATATACATACATCAACAATCATCGATATTCATTCACTTCGATGTACAACTACAATTAACCCGTAACTGCACACCAGAGAGATATCTGACTAACCAGGATCATTCTGATCATACATTCAGTAAAAAAAAAGTCGATAATTATCTATCTACCTAACTCCATTACCCCCACACCATTGCACAGAAATCGAACGAACAGAGAATTTTAAGAAACCGCAAAGTGACACTAGACTCACCTCATAATCGGTGGAACTCGTGGAAACTGCAGAGAGGCAGTTGCAGGAGAAGCGATCGAACCGGCGAAAGGGAACATTCCGATCTGATCGCCGGCGGCTCTGGAGTCGGAGGCAACCGATTTCCCTCGAAACTCTAGGCGAGGAACGAATTCGTCTCGGATAAGAGAGAATTGCGAGACCGATGCTAGGGTTTATTGAGTGCGAGTACAAGAAAGTGTCAAATGCAGAAGCCGAAGCCGAAGCAGCCATAGATGTCGAGCTCAAAGCTCCTCGAGCGAGGAAGAGGGAGATAAGAGACTGTTACTGCTCGTATCGTAGCATATGTATTGGGTATGGGCCGGGCCCTTATTGAACCGAATTGATCTCATTTTGGGCCTCTATAGAAATCTTCCCGAAAGTACGGACTCTGGCTCTAGCTCCGGCGACCTATATATATACGTTTCCGGACATTTTAATACATATATATATAGTAATGGAATTGACAAATGAATGTAAAACTTTTTAAAAAAGTTTATACAAATTTCAATAAAGTGATGAATTATCTACTTGTGCCACCGCCAACTTTCCATTCGCCTGTCCATACTTCAATTAATGAAATTTTTTTTATATATTTTTATCATTTACAATTATGAATTATCTAATTGTAATATTGTTATTTAATTTTTTTTTACAATTCGAAAATTTATCGCACCTTTTCCAATTCTCGGAGAAATCGGATGTTATTTAATTACTATGCCACACGTGTATATAAATACAAAAAAATAAACAAGTATAATTTATTTATTTTTTAAAATCCTTGGACTTGTCAACATGTTTATTATACATATGGGTTTTGTGGATGCGGGTGAATACATTTACTGGCGAATGATTACTACTTTTTTGCATGCCTGTTATTTACTCTCTTCAATTCTTCAAAAAGAAAAATTATATATATATATATATATATATATATATATATATAGTGTTGGCTTTAATCATTTTCTATTTTCATTACATCTTCAATATATTTTTTATAATCTGGAATTTTACCGACTGCATCTGCCAAAAAACGGAAAAAATTCATATAAATGTTTCTCCCTGAGTGAAGACTCAAACTCGAGTTCGAAAGGAGTTTTGGTCCCTTCATTACCGGTTGAACCACCCAATATTTGATACATATTTGTTATTTGTTATGTTACAACATTCTATAATGTAATATACATAATATTATAACTATTTAGGTTCCCGATAAACTTTGTAACCACTACATACAATATAATGCATTTATGCGTCCGTTAGAGCAACCCTCTGCTTTGGATTACATTTTCTGCATCATTGTATAACCTTTAACGTCGAACTCGATCCTTTCTCAAGCTCTCCAAATAGATATATATATAAAAAAAAAGAAACTTTTTTCCCTTCAAGCAAGGGCAATATTGAAATTAAAATTTACAATAAATATATACTAATATATTATCTAATATACGTGATTAAGAGAAAGTATAGCAAGTTAATTACAGCTGAGGCCTACCCAAAGTAAACTCGAGACTTGGCTTCTTGGGGCTTCTTCCTGAGACTATGCTTGACGAGCTTCCATCTTCTGATGATATTCTCTCATAACTCAAGCACTTTGGATCCATTTCCTCCTGTTAATTAAACCCCACAAAAAAATTGTTATGATTATAACCAAAACAAAAGATCCTAACATTTGTTTTTCCGTGTGGATATATCCATGTAAAAAAAAATATCAGTCAATATCATGAAGTGATATATATGGATCAAATAAAGGGTATAAGAGTGTATACTAAGCATGCACCAATATGGTGTGCATGCGAATTTTACGTAAGAAACCAATCTCGAGATATATATTGACCAAAAGGAAAAGGGGAATAAGAGAATATATATATATATGTATGTATGTATGTATGTATGTACACTAAGCAAGGCATAAAAACAAAGGAATGAAAAGAAATCAGCAACGCCCATACGTGTTATCTGCCCTTCATATTTTAACACAAGTGTATTTGATGAAGAAATTCATTCCTATCCATATACACACATATACATACATCATACATGGTTATATTATATGCATACTATCTATAAGTAAACACTGATATTTTGGGAAAGAGAATTCATAGATTTTTCGCACCTTAGAGGGCGGTGTGATTTCTGCAACAGTATCGTTTGTCATCCCGTACAACCGTGTCTCACTGAAAAAATTCGAAAAAAGTCTAATTAGAGAATATATATATATAGAGAGAGAGGGAGAGAGAGATAATATTTGGCATGAGACTGTTAGCCATGCACGTCTAAGCGAGATAAAATAAAATAAAACAAAGAAAGAAATAAACAAAAAGGAGAATAACGTAAAGTATAGGGAAAAAAGGAAAACAAATATCCTTTAACCAAAAAAAAAAAGAAAAGAAAAAGAAAATTTCCCTTTTCAGTGTCATGTATCGTAATGTGTGTGTGTGTATGTATATATATATATATATATATATGTTTAACATAGTTGCAGGTAGCCTCACTTTTTGCATGCAAAAAATGTATGCATACTTTTTCCTTTGTCTTTACATTTGAGTATAAAAAAAGTTGAAAGAGCCATGCATGTGATTACCCATTTGCTCGTATTCACCATTCTAAAAAAGAAAGCTTTTCAGACCATTTGCCACGGATACCAAATTTCGTTTTGCCCTAGATTCAAATTCTCGAATTTTATTGAAAATTATCCTATTAATTATGACACTAATCTTATCAGAAATATATATAATTCCATAATAAACAAGTCTTCATGACTCTCATAATTCTCAATAAATTTGAATATCAGTTGGGTATATAGAAATTGAATATTAGTCGGATATATATGAGTTGCGTGAAGAAAGTGGTGCCTAAATATACCAAGTCCCTGCACTAATAGTGGTAGGTTAGCAAATGCATATATATACATAGGGATACAAATGGCATAGCTTTTGGCCATGATTTTATTTTTCCCTTAATGGGTCACTCGAGGGATTTAGATTGGGGTTAAGTTTCCTTTCATACCATAATATAATTAATACCCTTTGTAAATTAGCCCGCAAAATCACAAGGGAAACCACTTTCACACACAATATCTCATGTACATGCACACACGCACACACACACACACACACGAGTGTTGTCTTTATATATACATGCAAATGTGTCTGCATATACAATAAGTGACTCCTTTATTTGAATAGGAACGATAATGGGGTTGGTTTCTCTTTTTCTTTTTTTCTTTTTTATTTTCTATATAGTTGGTTTCTCTTTCATTAATTCTCTCGTTTTTCTCTTTTTCTTTTACACGTCAAGTGGGGAGAGAGAGAGAGAGAGATGATGATGATTAAACCATCATGGATTTATCTACGTTCAACAGGCTGTGGTTGACAGAAACAAACAGACAGAACAAAGAAGGAAGGCATAAACACACTTCCAAGTTCCTAGGTGCATGTGACTCTTGTTTCTCTCTCTTTCTGTTGTCCCGTGCATGTATACACGCGTACATGTATCTATACATATGTATGCGTGTGTTACATATGTGTTGCTTTTGTAAGGATTCCGTTCATAAAAACAAAAGCATGTCTAAAATATTCGAGCTTTACCAGTTTAGACATTCCACTTTCCAAACACACGTGTAAAGCCAACGGCGGAAAATGCATATGTATCTCCGTATATATATGCACACGTATTGTGCATGCCCATGCAGAAGAAAAAAGTTATAAAGAAACACTTGCATTCGAGCATATCAGTATATATTCTCACATCGGGAAAATGTACGTACCAAACATGCCCATACGTAACGTACATATATATATACATACACATTTTATAGAAATATATAATATATATGTGGACGAAGAATGAATGAATTACCCGGAGGAGCTGCTCCATAGACCGCGATAGTCATTTCCTTTGTCACCATTAGATATCTCTCTTTGATTCTGCATTTCATTGTTTTGCCTCGATTTCCGGTTCACACGGAAGATACAATCGTCCGAGTTATCCCCCGAAGATACAGTTTCAATGACATCAGATTGTCCTATAAAAACAAATGTACAAATCCCAGATTAGTTAGGATTCTGTCATATACGATTATATAAATCTCTATTTTTCTCTTGACAAATAACGTTAATTTAATAGAATGCCGAATATACCGGACGAAGCTGCTGCTGCTTTGTCGGTAGTCTTCACTGTCCGGTACATCTGATATAAAATATATATATAAAGTTACACCAGAATCTCAATATGAAATAATTTTTTAAAAAATTGTAAGATAATCAATTTAAAAAGCTAAGTTTGTATTCAAACATAAACATATATATATATATGGGCAAAATAAGGAGAAGAAGACAGAGAAAGCAGACCAATGTACTATTTTCACCGTGGCATAGAGCCAAAAGAAACGGTGTGTCCTGCCCCGACACAAGTGGACAGAACAGAACCAAGAAGTTCTGAAAGTATATACGTTGGGAGATAGCAATAGAAAATAACTGTTCAGACACAGAACCATTAATGATATTATTAATGTGGTTCGCAATTTTCATGTCCAACGCCTCAATTTATGTGTCTGACCATGGTCGAAACCTAACCCAACCATGGTTGAATGAAATCCCATTCCATTTCGTCTAGGGGGGGGGGAGAGAGAGCATCATATCATTAAGAAATGATGGTGTTTCTGTACTCCTCCTCCCTCCCAGAATTTTCCCCTCTATTTTTTAACCCAAAAAACCATGCATAGCAATTGACCAATCAGATCTTCAACCAAACATTATTTAAAAAAAAAACACTTTTTTTCTAAAAAATATTGTCTGAATCGACCTCTAAACATCGTTCATATCTTCGGAAAACCCATTTGATTTTATTATGAGATGAATCTAACAATGGAAAATAAACCAAGAAAAAAAAAACATTTTTAGGGCTTAGTTTTCCTGCCTTAATTATTCTCTGAAACCGATTAAAATCAAAACATTGACCTCTCTCTCTCTCCTTCGTTATCTCTATATATGTGTCAGTAATATGAAATGTTGAGTAATTTGTAGTTATTACAGGACAAGTAGTGATTCTTCTTCCCATAAAACAAAGCAAGCAAAGGCCTGTCTATGATCTTGCAGGACCAACAGATATATTATATAAAGAAACTAAAGGTAACTTCAAGTTTATTCTTCCAAGAAATTAAACGAAGAAACGAAAGACCAACTTGTTTGAAATTGTACTCTTTCATCTGTATACCTTATATATATATATATGTACAGAAACACGGGCATATATATATATATATATATAAACAGGCTCATGTATTGCTTAACTCATCCCGATGTAGGATGTTAACTTTGCTTGATTGGTGGTCATTCGAATTAATTACTGTGGAAAAGGGAAAAGGTGGAAGAAAGACAAGATTCTTCTATTCACTGACGATCCAGCTCACAATCCTCGAACTCAGATTAAGGAAGACACTGAGTCAAAATCATCGTTATTCGAGTTGAAGTGTATATATATATATATACATAGCAATCAGAGAAATTTAAACCCATTTGATGATATAGGTGTTCTTAAAAGAAGGGTTAATCGATCAATAACGATTAAATAAGTGAATTACCTGTAAATGAGACTTGACGTGAGCCAGGGTCAGATCTTTTACAGCCATGAGCTCAAGAACCGATTTGGGTGTTGCTCCTAGCGGTTAAACAAAACGAAAACGGATTAGAATAACTGAAGATAACAACAAAAAAATGTGGAACCTTTAATTAATTTTCATGGACATGCATACTTTCATGTCCGCCGAGCATTTCGACTGCGTGGACGAACCGGGCGTGGAGAGTGGTCGTCCACCGCATCCGAGGAGCTCTCATACTTCGCTTCACCGGAAATCTTGGCATGAATCTTGATCTGTTGTTCGTCATCAAGCCGTGATGATGACGATGGTGGTGGCTAGGGTGATAATTAGTGGTTGTTAGGCCGGAGTTGGCAACTTTTGTGGCACTAATGTTGTTATTGACTAGTGAACAAGAAGAAGAGGAAGAAGAAGAAGAAGGAATCAAAGACGAGGGATCGAAAGAAAAAGACGGTGGATGTGAAGTGTGATGAGGAGGGTTCTGGTACAGTGGGATTCCTCGTATCGGCCTTAAGATGTTGAGGTTGTCCCTAAGAAACCCATGTAGTTGTTCTTGAACAACTTGTTGATCTGTCTGGAATGGAAGCGGGTTCAAGATTTTGGAGCCATTGAAATTCGGGAGAGTGTTCGAGTCTGCCGACGAGATCGAAACGGGGCTCCTCGACAAATAGGAGCCGTTCGACAACGAAAGATCGAATGAACTTTCGGTTTTAGAATCGGTTCTTGAATCCAAAGCTCTTCTCCAAAATCCTAAATCAAGATTCTCGGCCGCTTCTGTTGATCTTCTCTGCCACGTGGACGACGGTTTGGTGTTCGGAGGACTGATTCGTAAGGATAAATCTGGTTGAGCAGGAAACAGCTCCATGGTTGTAACCAGACAAAGCTTCTTTTCTTGTTCTTGATGGGAAAAGAGGCTCAAGCTTTGAATCTTTGGCTATGAAATCTGCCCAACGAACCCTAGCTTCGGTTTTCTTTGAGTTGGAGGAAAAAGAAAAGGAAGTACGTACGTCTTTATGGGTATGGAGAAAAAGGACATATATGGTGTTTGTTTTTTTAAATTTAGGAGGAGATTTATGGGGTTTCTTGAGAATCTTGATACAAAATTTTCCTTGATTGAGGTTGAGAAGTTGCAAAGATTTTTGAGATATAGAGAGTGAAGAAAGACAAGAAGAAATGACACTTGAGTAACTTAGAGAGAGAGAGAGAGAGAGAGAGAGAGAGAGAGAGAGAGAGAGAGAGAGAGAGAGACTATCTTTTGTGGAGATGGAGGCCTAGAGAAACTAGGTTAAGAAAAAGCAAAGGGATAAAGAAATGGAAGAGAAAAGAGGCCCATACAAACAAAAGTGGTTAATAGTAAATAAGCCTTTCTTTTTCCCTTGCAAACCTTTTGTTTTCTTTCGAGCATATATATAAAAGCATTTTTCTTTATTTATTTTTTGAACTCCTCTTTTTTTGTTCTTTTTCTTACATGTTACCCTTTTATATTATCCACCATAAACCTATACATTATAATCCCTTTACATTGATTATCATAGATACATTATAATTAAATAAGCCTTTCTTTTGACTTGTTATATGTTTTATTATCCTTTCGTATCCTAATCGTAAGATGGTAAATATATATGTTTCTATATAGCTTATTTCAAGCTTATGGTTTATTATATGCACGAACTACAAAATTAGGAAGCCAATATTTGCGGTTTAATGCTTATTAATTGAATAATAATATACAACTTAAGAGAAAAAAAAAAGGAAAGGTGAAAACTTTGGCATGGTTATCTTTAACAACCCACACGCTCTTAATTTGCTTTTAACTGAAACCCAAGGTTGATTGCTCCTTTTTATAAACCCTAAATTCATTCCAAAAAGAAGCATTAAATTTTGAAAAAAGGGGGAAAAAGAGAACAAAGAAAAAGATTTTAAAAAAAAAAGAAAGAAAGAAAGAAAAAAACAAAGTTTGCTTCTTTTAAGCGTATATGGCTTCTCCATCACATGACTACGCACTCCCCTCTCTCTCCTCCCTAGCTAGGGTTTTGTTTTGTTTTGTAAATCATACCTTAATGATGAAATAAAGCATCTGCATTATGATGCATTTTCTTCAAATATTACATAACTTATATCCAATGAGCTTTAAATAACATTATCCTTTTACATTATTTACGATCTAAAATTCTAATATATGTAAAAGGATAACTCCACCAACCGATAGATCTTACCACAACGAAATTTATTATCAGATTTTAATATATTACTATAAAAGAAGTTTAAATTTAATATGAATATAGGTGGGAGAAATGGTTGATTAGAATGAAAAAAAATAAGCAAACAAAATGGTGAAAATTAAAGGAAAATAATAAAAAAGAACAAGAAAAAAATATGGATAAAAAGACATATCTACGTTTCCCGAATGGGGTATAAATAGCTATATATTGTACAGCAAATAGTTTGAGCTAAATTGTTTTATAAGGTATGCTCGTCCAACGTCTTTAACATTACTTCTTTTTCTTTTGTTAAGCGTATTCCGACATACGGACACAGTTTAATTACCGTTTTTACCCTTTTTTTCCCTCATTTTTTTTAAATATTATAAAAAAAGTCATATATACCCTTATTTAATAGTTGAAATGTAATTAATATACATTAATTTAATTTTATTGAATTTGATTCATTTTATTTAAGGTGACATCTGTTTAGTAACAAAAATATTATACAGTCAAATATTAAGAAAAGGAGGGAGTATATAAAAATTAATTACATCGCTCTTGTAGCAAGTCATATTTGTATAATTCCATTAAATAATGCTCAATGGTTTGGCCTTGAGATCGGCAAGATACCACATAGGGAATAGAAATCTCCATTAAGAAAACGACATTTGATCTTTTATTTTCTTGAAGTTCACAGAGACGCTTCGATGTTGAAATTTAATTTGTAATTACTATGCGATTATACAGTAAAAAAACTGTACTTAATGTTAATTATGATAATTAAACCATCATTAGCTTCTCCTAGGGTTCCCGACACCCTAGAAATTAACAAGTTACCGATTTATATACACCATTTTTAAACTATAGTACTATTATCGTAACTTGTCTCTGCGTTTTCCTCGAAATTTAATGGTCCAATTAGATGTCGGGCTCATTACAAGAAAATGTGTCATCTTTTTACTTTCTTTTTCATGTTTAGTTTAGTTTTGGAACGAGTGACCCATATTGCTCTTAGGTTAATTGAATATATATATATATATATATATATGAACACGTATGAATTCCAATCGATACATAATTATATGGAAAAAAAAAAAATCTTCGAATTCATCCGTACGTGTCAATGCGATGTACTCACTAAAAATATATTTTGGCACGTTCTCACCGCATTTTAAGTGACCCCACCCCCCAACTTATAACGTTATGAGCATTAATTGTTGCAGCAACCGTTAATGAAAATCAGTATATATATATATATAGAGAGAGAGAGAGAGTGGAACATTTCTGCCAACATTTCAAAGTATTAATTTGTATAGTATAGTAAAGCCTAGATAAATGATGTATAACTGGCGATAGGATACTATAGTCAATGCAAACAATTTCATGGCAATTATTAGAACTACTACCTGTGATATCCTGAGTTATGATGAGGATTGAGAATGTTCGTCGGTGTAGATGATACGGATAAAGAACAGCTCCTCGAGTACCACTAGACCAAAGAGATACGAGAACGAATCAAATGCACCAAAATGAGAGAGATCCGAGGATTGTATAAATATCTAAGATAACTTAAAAGAATTAGTTGAACTACTCATAGTAACAAGATGCACACACTTTTTCGGTTATCTATTTCGAGAGAACTCCAAAGTTAAACATGTTAACTCTTTCAATTTAAGGATGAGTGACATACTGGAAAGTATCTTCGTATGCGTGCGATTGAGGACAAAACACACTAAAAGATCTCATCATCTCGTGTTGATATGTGAGAGCAGTTTTGACATTTTGTAGCGGTCGTGGGTCGTTACACTGCCCAACAATAATATATATTTTGAAGAGCATATGAATATATATAGGATCATACTATATGTATATATCTTAGTCGGGGGAGGGGGGACAAGATATATATATGTTGTGTTTGAACTTTGAAGCATTCATTTCTTGTAGGAAAATACAATTTAGTTGCATGGATTATGAGATCGATTAACAAGATAATCTCGAATTAATGAGGTAAGTATTATTTTGTAAATTATTCTTTATATATGTGTGTGTATATATATATATTCTAAAAGTAATGCTAAGATCAAATCTTTTTAATTGCTTTTATTTAACATTCGATACCGGATTTTGCACACTATCGACCATCCAAAATTATTCATATTGTCGATTAATATAATTACACAAGAAGTTATATATATATATATATATATATATATATATCAGACTCGAATAGACATGCACGTATGTGCGTCACAAAATAATGATAATTTGTAAACAATATGTTTTTTTTGGTACATATATTGATAACGTGGTTTAATGTAGATCATATGAAAATTACACATGCGAATTTCATTCAAAATTTCGTACTATTTCTATGTGCTAGGTCCATTCAATAATGAACAATGATGATGGTGATTTTCAACCGCTATTATTAGCGAAAGATCATTCTAAAAATATATGTGCATATAAATTAAATAAAAAACCAAATAAATTGAATATGGTTGTTAGGTAGTGTCATATTAAAGGAAATAAATTAGAGATATCTTTGTTGGTTTGATCATATCGCACAAAAAAATTCTAATAACGTTCTTTTAACTTCAACCTTTATGGTACACTTAAAAAGATTTTGTTCCCATTGAATGGTGGATTTCTTTTTTCATGAAGAATATCATATATCTTTCCTCTTCTTTAGTCCAAATTAATTAAAAAAAATTATATAGTTTTCTTTAATTTAAATTAATTAAGCACTTTTTCTAGAACAAAGATATTCTTTTCCTTAGTAAATATTCACATTATCATACATCAACCCTCTCTTTTGCCCACAAAAACTGTTTAATAGTAATTTTAAATTTTATTTCACATCAAAACTTTTTGCAGTATAATTGATATTTTATTATAAACACAAGTGACTTTAAAAAGCCTAATAATATTGGGAAAAAAAGTTATATCACCACTATCACAATTTTCGATCTCAATTAGAATAGGAATATATCTTGAAGATATTTCCTCATATATATTATTATGTTTTTGTTTTTTTTTTACTTTTTACACATAATTACTAAATTTAGAATACAATTGGAAATCGAATGCAGAGAAAGGAAACTCAATGTCCCTAATTAAAGTACTATATTAGTGGAGGATTGAATTGATTCTTCAAACTTTGATGACTTTAGTGGCTCAAAATGAAAAAAATAAAATAAAATAGTGCCAATGGGATTCCATGGGTTGAAAAATCATATAGAGACTGCACATATATAAATAAATGTGTAGCGCGTATTCACGGCAAATGCTTATATGTGAGTATCCATGCGTTTACACGTATTTTAACTACATATATATATATATACACATGGAAAATGGAATTAACGGGTTGAAATATTATGTTTTATTACACCCTATAATTTAAACTTGATCAAAGCTATTAATAAATCTAATACAAAACTACATGAAGTTGAGGAATTATTTATGATCATATACATACATAAAATGTTGGATATGACTAATATATATTTTTTTTTGTCAGAAAGAAGATTTATGAAAAATGAGTTAAAAGTGGAAAAGCATCTTTTAACTAAATGAGTTGGAGACTCATATAAGGTGTTTTCACCAAAGAAAAGAAACAGAAAGAGAAAGGGGAAACCAAATGAATCTTCTTTTAGAGCAAAGACAAGTTCTTTTTGTAAATACCCCACAAATCTCCAAGAGATTATTTCTCACTCGTAAAAGCAAATTATTTAACACCAAATAATTATATTCAATTCTTAATTATTATATATTCTTTTGCTTTTTTTTTCCCTTCCCTTTTTTCAGTTCTATCATCTCTATATATTCTCTGCCCAAAAATTATACACACTGAAATCCTGATATTCTTTTGGAGTAACCTTTTTTACATGGAAATTGTATATATCATTTTTATAAAAAAAAAAACTATCAAGAGACCTTGTTGTTGAAGTAGGGGAACGTTAGTAATATATGTATTATGTATATATATGTGTCTATCATAATATATATCATATGATACAAATCATCTTACCAGCATGTGATTCATTTTAAAATAAAAGGGTCATTTTATGTAATGATTTGAACTCTTATTTTTCTTGAGGTGAGGCAGTGTTACGTTTTGATGTATGATTTCTGTCAATGATTGATATCTTTATTTGGTTTCTGCATGTATATGAGTGCTAATAACAGTACGGGGGTTATAAAAAAAATTAAAATAGTCACTTTATGCGGAGTGGTTAATATGTAAAATCAAATTTGAACCCACAATATATAATAATATCTAAACAGATCCGATTGATTGAATATGATTTGTTTTAAATCAAATTAATCGAACTCTGATAAAAATCAAACTGAATATTTAATAAATATTTTTTAATAGAAAGCGAATTCTAATAGAATCTAATCTAAATCCAGAAAATCAATATAAAATATGGATAGTTATCAATTTTTTCAAAGCAAATAAAAAAATCGGAAATATCAACCCCTAATTTTACTAATAAAAAATCTGGAAAAGAAACTAAATAATCTCCTTAACGTGAATTACGAAATACCATCGTTTATAAAAAGGACCGATAATAGGCCCATTAATTGATTGGGCTCTACATGTCCTTCGATCAGCCCAATACAAAATCATGAAATCAGTCTCATATTTTTCAATTTTTTTTTTGTTAAAAAATTATGTTCTTCGTCTCCACGATAAGCCCTAGCAAATCCTTCTTCTCTTCGCTTTCTCTCTTTTTCGCCATCACATGTCTTTTCGATTCTCCCGAGTCCGGACTTCTGACTTCGAACCGGAAAACGCATACGTGATTGCGAACGAATGGGGCGAGAGATCCGGCCCCGACTCCCAACCAGAAGCCGCAACCGAAACCGAATCGAGAAATGGCCCTGTGACTACGGAGGAATGGGGTGAGAGATCAGAACCCGACCCGGATGAGCAAGCGACCGGCTGAGCGGAATCGGATCCTCCGAGGAACGAGGACGAGTGGGAGGAAGAATACAGCAGAGGCGGTCAATTGGGCGCTGGGAACGGAAGCGCAGTGTGCGATCGGGCTTGGGAACTGAAGAGGATTTTGGCGGACACGGTGTACGGAACTGAATTTGGGTTTCGGACCGGGTCTGAGGTGAGGGCGGAGGTTTTGGAGCTCGTGAATCAGTTGGAGGCTCTGAATCCGACGCCACCTCCGGTGGAGGCTCCGGAGCTTCTCGACGGCAACTGGGTTTTACTGTGAGCTTCCTTCTTCTCTCTGTTCTTCCTTTTCCCCCTTCTTCTGTGCCTTTTATCAGATCATTTCCAAGTATGCGAACTTCCAAACGACTGAAAGAGTTCATCCATATACCCGATATGAGTACCATAGTCATCAATTTGGTAAAGTTTCGGTTTTTTGTGATAGCTTAGATTTTGGCTTGTAATGTCTGAAATGTAAAATTGATTTGTCTGCTTAAAGTATTGGTTTTCAGTTCCTTTGTTATAGTTGGGATTGAATGAGTGTTAGATATTATGTTCCAGGGTTCTTGTATATAATGCTTCATTCCACTCTGATTTTTGAGAATGAGAAAACTTCCCTATTACAGTTCTGAATCTTGGTAAGGCTACAGTATTGTTTGTTCAGTGAACTCTGATTTGCTCAGCAGTGGCATTTCGTTTTGGCTTCATGATCCGAGCTCATGACTTGATCTTTTTCTTCTCGGGTTTGGACAGATATACCACCTTTTCAGAGTTGTTGCCTCTCCTGGCCACTCGTACGACGCCCTTACTGAAAGTGAAAAGAATAATACGGTCTATCGACCTCTCTGTAGAAAACTCGACTACGCTTTCCAGTCCATTAACCGACTCCTCGTTTAGTGCTTCTGCAGTTCTGCTACAGTTGAAGTTCGGAGTCCATCCAGAATTCAGGTATTTTGAGAATACCCCTTTCGAAGTAATGCCTTGTGTGATGAATACACTTGCATGAGCATCTGAAATCTGGTTATTGTTTTTAATCTGCATTAGCGTTTTGATCTGGGGATGATGTTCCGTTAAATGTTTAGTCAATTAATGAGAATTTACCCGAAAAGCAAGTAACCTTAAAAGGATCGTTAAAGTTCCAGGGACTTAGATCACTAAAGGGCAGCCTCATTTGTGGAAATGTAGTCTAATGCAGTTCTTGTTTTGGAAACTGATACAGCAGAGAGTAGAACTTCTGAAAATTACTTCACGGCAATATGACTGATTCTTTTGTGTTTTTACGCATATCAGGTTTCGTTCAAAGAAGGTACACTACGACCTCCCGAGATCAAATCGAGCGTTGATCTCCTCGAGAGTGTGGATTTACTTGGGCAGCAGGTCAGCCTACTGCCGCTGAAGCAATCTCTGAACCCTTTGCAAGAGTGGCGGCTAGCATTTCCTGGGCAATCTCCGGTCAGCAGCCTTTCAGGCTTCCGTTCCCAGGAAACTGAGGCAGCTCCTGGATTCTGATCACTTATCTTGACAAAGATCTCAGGATCTCTAGAGGGGACAGTGGCCTTTTCGTGCTTGTCGGAGAAGGAAGCTCTCTTCTTGAACTCTGATATATATATATATATAGAGAGAGAGAGAGATAGAGAGAGAGAGAGAGAGGGAGAGAGGTTTCCTTTTAATGAGTAGATATATGTAAAGAGCATGAACATTAGAGATATACAAATTATTGGACCTGTGTTTTCCTGGGTCCGTAACATTTGGGAGACAAGGCAACTGTGAAGACAAGACTGGAGCATAACGTTATCCGAATCCAAACCAAATGTAAAAGGGGCGCGTAAAAGATTTTATAGTGTTCAATCGAAGGATTTTATAATGTTTGGTTACATTTTACGAAATTATTAGAATGAATCTAACATTAGCCAAAATGCTGATAATTACTCGGTCGGAGTTTGATCCCTAGTAAGCAGGAAGATCCGACAAAAGTGGATATAAATGAAGAACAGGAACCCGTCAACGATTAATCGATCAAAACCCAGAAATTGATTCCCTTTTTCCTGTTCGTTTTTACAATATCTTGATCTCAGAATCCACCACCGGACATTTCCGCTCGTGTTTCCCTCGTAATTTGAGAAGATAAAACTTGTGGGTCAAGTAACATGAGCGATAAGCTTTCGGAGAAGCTCGACGACGAACAAATCTCCGAGCTCCGGGAGATTTTCCGATCATTCGATCGGAACAATGACGGAAGCCTAACCCAGCTCGAGCTCGGATCTCTTCTCCGAGCCCTAGGACTCAAACCGAGCCCCGAACAGCTCGAGAAGCTGATCCAGAAAGCCGACACGAACAACAACGGTCTTGTCGAGTTCTCCGAGTTCGTGGCCCTCGTCTCGCCTAAGATCTTGTCGGCGACGATGCCGTACACGGAAGATCAGCTTCTCCGGCTGTTCAAGATATTCGACACCGACGGAAATGGGTTCATCACGGCGGCCGAGTTGGCTCACTCGATGGCCAAGCTGGGACATGCTCTCACGGTGGAGGAGCTCACCGGTATGATCAAGGAGGCCGACACCGACGGTGACGGTCGGATTAATTTCCAGGAGTTCGCCATGGCCATCAACTCCGCCGCCTTCGATGATTCTTCTTTTGATTGAATTGCTTCTTCATCCATCTCCCCTCACACTTTTTTTTTTTGTTTCTTTACGATTACAGTTTGAAAGAATTGTCTTCCAATCGTGTCTTAGACTTTATTGTTTTATTAGATGATTGTTATTTTTCTGCCATACCCAACTTTCTGTTCTCGAATTCGTATCTTTATTGATGGAAAGAGTAAAAACTCTATATACATAAAAAAAAAGAAAAGGGACCTGAAATTTGAATGAGAGCAGAAAACTTGGAATTCAACAATTGTCTATCATCACGACAGTTCAAACAAGAAAAAAAGATCAGGACTTCAGTGATTGTGAATGAAGCTTTCATTTCTGAGCCATCCACTGGAAAATGTCCTTGCGGATGACACTGTCGAGCCCGCCTGTAGTGAAGCTCGGTTTGACCAGACTGGCCTCGCTCATGATGTAATGATGCCTGTACTGATTCATGGTTCCGGTGGGTCTTGGCGGTCGAATCATCATGGAGACAGTAGGGAAGGATTTGGGCCAAAGTTTCCTCGAAGACACGAACATGAGCCTGTCAGATTCACGGTTCTGTGGAGATTGCGTGTTCCTGGATGTTTTGAGATGAGAAGATTCCGATATTTTCTTTGCCTTGTCAGTGCTTGAGTTAGTATGGCATGGTAGTTGCTCGGGTGGAGCACGGATATGAGCCTCAGGCTTCATTCGATCAAGCCAGCGGAGAATCCAGTTGCCCAGGTTCCGACCAACTTCTATGTCTCTTTCCTGGATGCTCTTGTGGACATTAAGTGCCACATCAAACACTTGACGAGTTCTCCTGCCCAGAGGAGAGGGAGAGAGTTAAGTAAGTGAATGAATACACCATTCTCATGATAAGCAAGTGAGATTGTGAAACAAACCCAAGAGATGAATATCATCATCAAGGCATGCAATAGCACCAATCTCGGGATCAAAAGATTGATGAAGAATTGTAAGAACAATGGAGATTGTTACAGTATTCCTTAGCCCTCGAATCGATCCTTCTCTTGGAACGAAGGGTAAAGTTGAACAAATTCGCAACATCAAAGCTTAAGATCTCATCACAAATCATACAAAACAAAGAGTCGGATTCAAGCTTAAGGCGACTAAGAACAAATCCAATTCACGCCCGGGTCATATTTGCCCGAAATTATCTTCCAGGACGATGAACAAGCATCATATACTAGGAAATGCTTGTCAAGATCGACGATTCACAGAACAAATCATGATTTTAATCCACAGAGACAAAATCAATCTGAAACAAGCTCAATCACGCAAATGGGGCATTGCTTAAAGAAACTATCAAACCCAAAGCGAAACCTTTATATGAACCAATCACATATACGAATCAGCATTTTCATCAGTAAAAGAAAGCATCTCTTGTCAAGCAAGCCGATTGCAAATCTCACGATCTCATCAAGGCTCTAGCTCAGACACACTATCAAACCCCCAATCAGAACAGAAAGCAATCAAATCACACATCCAAAAACGGAAAATCCCAACAAAGAAGGACGGAATTATCTCCTGGAAACAAGACAATTAGGAACGCAATCGGAGGGGAAAAAACCCTCACCGGTGCAGAAACTGTCGGATCCTAGGATGCTTAGGTCCGACTATCCGACGCTGGATCTTCAAGGCGAGCCTGTAAGTCCGCTTCAGACCCAAGAAGTACGCTGTTCCCAACGTTATTTCCCACAACACCATTTTCTTCTAGAACCTTCTTCTTCTTCTTCGTCGTCGTCGTTTTCGAAAACTCTTCACTCCGAATATGATCTCTGTATATTCTTTATTCTTTTCTTAGAGCCGAATTTCGATCACCTTGTTCCCGTCGTTGTTCGCCGCTCGCTTTTATACCGGTCGATGAATCGGCAAATCGATCCCTACCGTTGATCATGATCTGCGAACCAATCTCGACCGTTGATCATTCTCGGTGGGTAAGGCATGGAAAATAGTCGTTGTTTTGGAATGGGCTCTGAAGGCCCACTTAGAGCCCAGTAAAGTTTAGATGGGCCTTACATTTTTGGACATCATGTTAATATCCATTAAAAATGTTAACAACAAATTTATTAAACTATTTTTTATTTTTATTTGTATAACCACAAAGCTAAAGTAAAAATTCATTTCCTTTGCTAATCATATTTGTTCGTTGATATCGTGTGAGAGGTTTGGAGAATTTTATCGTTTAATGGAAAGTTACAAAGCAAAAAGGAAAAGCCGCATTATCAAATATATTGTATCTAATCTTAGCAAATTAATAATTAAATATAATTAAAAGGAGGAAACCAATTAATAAATGGATTCCGAAGGTAAAGAGTAGCGGATACGACAACTCTAATTATTGGGAAAAAAATATAATTTCGTAATAATTATTTCCCATATGCGTATATATTGTAATATATTTATTGTACGTGGCGCTTTAATTCTCACGCTCACGAATATTTTATTTATTTGGTATAGTTCTCGCCTCTCTCTCTCTCGGTCTCTCGTCTCTCTCTCTCTGTCGGCGATGCAGAGGCTGTCGCTAGACTCGTCAGCTTCGAAGCTCTATAGCTATGGAGGACGAAAGGACGAGGTCTATAATGTCGATGACTTGAAGCGTAAAGAATCGTCCTCTTCTCCTTCTTCTTCGTCCTCCGTCGATTACGACGATCACGAGTTCAAGGATTCAAAGCCACGGCGATTATCGCTGCAATTGCCGCTCTCGGCGTCGCACCAAAAGCAAGAGAAACTCGTTCACTTCATTCCTGTGCTTACTCTAATCTGTTTCGTCGTGCTCTACCTCACTTCTCATCCTCCATCGCAATCAGGTTCGTGCTCTGCTCTACATCTGATGAATCACTTACTTGGATTATCTTCTGTTTTCTGGTTTTGATCTGTTCTCGGTTTCGGATTTTCTCAGATTTGGCTCAGTTTAGTGGATTCCACCATCCATCGAAGCATTTAGGTATAATGCAGCTCCGATTCTTACTTTGTCCCCCGAATTTCTCGGTCTATTTCAGTTTTTCGTTAACACAAAATTTGGTTCATTTTCAGATTATTTTCCCTATGATATTTCTCCTTTCAATACCACTTTTCTTAACCTTATATACACTCGCATCACATGTTTTACATATTTAAGTTGAGACGCATTCAGGTTTAGCCGCCGGGTTTGAATTTTGATATGCGCGCAAGTTCAACCTTGATTTTGGTTAATTGGTCACTTCCATTCGTTATCCAGTAGATTCCGGCGAAAACGGCGAAGTATCGGGACTCGTCAGGGCCAATGTTCTGGCAATCCGTAGTAGCATAAGGAACTTGCAAGAAACGGAAAAATATCCGCCGAAGTCATTCCCGGCGCGTCACCGTAATTCCCACCGGAAAACCGCCATCTTCTAGATTCTCTCACACACTATTGGCACGTGTAAGTTCAAATTGCATTGCCGATCTGTCTGTTTCCTAGAACGTCAGTTTGTTTAAACTAACTAAATAGAAAAAAGGGGAAAATATAAAGCTTACCGGTAAGATGCGCCGGAGGATGGCCTCATTCAGCTAACGTAGGCGCGGTAAGTGGCGTATGTTAGAGAGGAGAGGAGTTAGAGTGCGCCGTTGTGTGGGGGTGCGATCCAGTTGGAAATTCGGACCGTTACAGTGCCTCGTGGTGCGGTTGGAGATTCCAGCTGGAAAAAAAGTCATATGTTCCCCTCTTGATAGCTTCACAAAGCTCATAACTATATAACTATAACTACAATGCATTTATTTATTTATATTTAGTAATTAGTGGGAGCTGTCCCACTGGCATGGCCCCCTCCTCGATTTCAATTTTTTATTTATTTATTTTCATAATGCATGCGTAGATAATCAGGGGTAAAAACCATATATCGACGCTCCTATGTTCTTATTTTGATTGTTATGGTCTGACCATATAGCACGTCGGTATTGTACTAACGTGTCTTGGATTGATATATTATTTTACAAAAGGCATTTGGTGAGGAGATGATGCCATGTGGGCTCGTGATGACGTTTGCCGTCCCCTCTCCTTTATTACGCTTTTCATTGCATCCTCTCTCTCTCTCTCTCTCTCTCTCTCTCTCTCTCTCTCTCTCTCTCTTGGCTCTGTTTTGTAAACCCTTTTGTTCTTTCTCGATATATATATATATATATATATGTTATGCTTTTGGTGTGGCCCAAATCTTCCGATTTATGAAGTCTATTATTGAACTTTGGCCTCATTCGCAGTTGTAAATCTTATACTAATTAAAAGCGAAATTAATTGCTAGGAGTGTGTGTGTATATATATCGTTTATCAGTTGGGTGTATATTCGTTGTGTAATGTAAATGAGGTTGACGTTTGACTAATCCGTGCATAGGTGTGGATGATGATGGCGAGTCACGGGCCGAAGATGGGAATTATGGGTATCGTGAAAAAAAAAATGAGGAGAATGTTGGATTCAGTTGATTGGTTATGTGTAAATCTTTTCAAACTGGTTAGTAATTAGTTTTTCTTTATAAAAACTTTGTTTTTTTTTTATCGAAAAACAGTATCATTTAAATCTAGTTTATGCAACTATACAATCTATTTTTTTAGAAAAAAAATTTGAGCATTCAATGAATTGCTTCATGTGTCGACGACTCGACGGTGGATTGCACAAAAAAATTTGATAAAAATTTTAGTATGTTATATACACACCATTAGTGCATTTCGTGATGATTCTCGTGATATATTTTGGGTTCAAATCTTATCCTAATATTTGTATGTGACAGGTATTCAGAGAGAGAACAAAATTGACCATTAAATTTTTTAAAAATATCAATTTTCTTAATAGAGCAGATATACGTTTTAAAATTGAAATTTTATAAACATATTTCAATTTTAAAAGGAGAGTTTTAGTGATTTTTTTGTGTATATATAAAAAAATTCAATGAGAAAAATGCAAAAAAAAAATATTACAAAATAATGGAAGAAAATGCTGTGCTAGCATTACCACGCGCTTCGTTGTTCCAAAATAACATATTTTACGAATTTTGGCCAAATTTTAAGGACCAAAAAATGGGCGCGTGATATCGACGCGCTAAGGCTGCGTGTCGGCGTGTACCCTCTCAGATGTCCCAGGCTTTTAGAGCTTTTTTTAATTCATTTTGGGCCCATTTCGAAATGAGCCGTCATCTACCGGGCCGAACATCATAAATAAAACTCGATCCGGAAATATCGAGTTATACAATCAAACTTTTTATATAATGCGTGTAGAATCAAACATTATATATATATATAAAGAAAATTCGTTACAATGTTCAATCAACAAATTACTTGGCACATAAGATCAACATTCCCCGTGTTCTTAGGCTATATATATATATATAGAGAGAGAGAGAGAACCTTTGTGGCGATGATTCGAGTACATTATTTAAGTTATGGTTTTATCTTAATATTCCAGTGTATCGTGAAAATATTTTTAAAAAATTTAATTTTTTTGGTAAAATTTTAAAAATAAATTATGTAACAAAACACAGCGTTTTAGTTTTATCTTGTCTTAACTTTTATATATGTTATAATTAAGGATTTAGGTGCAATGGCATCTACCATTAATACATTCCATAATCACCTTCAGTTTAAAGAAACAATAAAATTGACAATCTCTTGGCTTTTTGCAATCTCCGAACTTGTTCGCTCCCACCGAGGTCGGCTTGCACGTGCATTTGCCATTCTCGCATACGGTCGCTCGTGATGGGCATTCCACCATTGCCTCTGCTCCCTCGATACCATTCGTTAGCATATCTGTAAAATATTTATAAAAAAAATTAATTAATTATGTCAGATAAATAGTTATGTTATATATATATATATATGAATCGGTTATGAGTAATGTTGATGACATATTGATTGTGCAATGTAAAAAAGAATGCTGTTAACTAGTTATGACATATATATATATACACACACTCTCGTCGTCTTAAATTTTCTACGTAACTTTTTAAAAAAAGAATTATTTTTTATTAATTTAAAATACTAATTTCAATAGAGTATTAATGAAAATGTAATTTAATGAAAGTATTTTTAAAAAAAAATCAGAAAAATATCTAGAACGATATCTGTTAAAAAATAGAGGGAATATATAAATTGGTTATGAATAATGTTGATGACATATTGATTGTGCCAAACAAAAAAACAATGTTGGTAACTAGCTATGATATATATATATATATATATATATATATATAAAAGATAAAGGTGCAATTATTGCTTTTACATATACTTTTAAATTACTCACATGATGAGACAAGGAGAAGAACAAAGAGCATTCCCTTGGAGGCCATGGATTTAGAATTTTTGTAATGATATATATGAGACTTGTATTGTTTAGAATTTCTTGCGAGTATTATGAGTTTATATATTGCTCTTGCAAAAAAAAAAAAAAAAAAAAAAATTTTTATAATCAGTATGATAGCTATTTTCCTATTTGGTTGTTACCGGAATATCTAATATATATATTTTTTCCAATTATACATTTTCCTAATCCAACAAATTTAAATGTTAAGGATAGATGATTAAAATATTCCATAAACGATGGTTTGTTTCTATCCGGTAAGTATTAAGAATATTAGGTGAGACTCACCCAATATCCGGGTTATTTTTTTCTTGTTATTAATATAAATTATTTATTTTTCGTTATAAAAAAATTATTAATATGAATGTAGTAAAAATTGATATATATATTATATTATATGTAAAGTTAAATTATTTTATTAATACTTGGGTTTCAAGCTTCTCGGACTGGTGTTCGTCGTTGGTGAAGCGCTCGAAGACGGCATGGAATCCGTGGGCGAATACGTGTTCGAGTACGGATACGTCGTTGTTGATCGATCTCAGAGCATCTGGAGGAGTTTGGGATTTTAGTACTTTAGGGTTATTTTATCGGTTTATTAATTTTAAACCGGTACGATTCAACAATTACTGTAATTTTAGTTATTAAACCGATTCGGATGATATGGTATCGACGATGATTTGAATTTTTTATTGCTAAAATCACCATTTTTTTCGATTTTTTTATATAATATAACATCATATTTTTATTGAATTGGAAAAAAATTGAGAGAACTTTTGAAAAAATCTTTTGTGTGTTTTGTAGTTTAGGTATTTATTTGATTTTTTTTAAATAGGTATTATATACTATTTTTTTATTATATATATATATATATTTTAATGTGATAAGTAGTAAGAAGATTTTTTTTTATATTTTAAAATATTTTGTATATGGGAGCGTGTGATCGATGCAGCTAGGGGTAGGCGTTTCAGTTCGGTTCTTCGGAACCGGACCGAACCAAAACGAAAAAGCGGTACTTTTTACGATCCGAAATCGTTCTGAATTTCCGAACAGTGTTATTTTTAGATAACCGAATTTTTCCGGAACCGAACCGAACTTTAAAAAATCCCGAAAAACCGAATATTTTTAAAGGAAATCTATATATTTTTTTTTAATAAAATCCGGAACCGAACCGAACCGATACCGAAACCTAACAGAACCGAACATAATATAAAAACCGATTGATACATATTTTTACAAAACCGAAAAAATCAAATCGATCCATTTCTATCTCGAATCCGAACCGTTTTTCACAACGCCCACCATAAAGTACTGTGCGCGTCGGTATTTACAGTCTTATGGGCTTATTGGGTATTCTTTTTGGGCTTCTTTGGAAATATTTAAACCGTCATCTCTTGGATCGCGTTTCACTATTCATACATAGACCCGAAAATACCGGATCGAAAACTCGAACCTATTTGCGTTATTTTTTTTTGGTGATTTAGCAGTTTTCAATCTTGAATTCATTTAAAACTTATATTTTATTTGTTATTTTTCATACAAATAAAAAAAGTAACGATTGTAATTCTTTCTTCATGTAATGAAAAATGGTAACTTTATATTAGTATTGTGCATTCATTTGCATGGCCTATCTTTCTATCTGGCCATTATATAAAACAAAGCCTATTTTCGCCAAATTATTTCATATAGAAAAAAAAAAGTAAGTCAACATAAAATCCTAAAATTTGTATCTAGTAAATTGTATGTTTATGATAATACCATATTTTCAATTGCCAAAAATTTCAGTAATCAAATGAATAAAACTCAAATTAAATCGTGTTTTTTAATGCCTATAGAATGATATTAAACTATTGAAGTTATGGTTTTATCTTATTGTATTCTGAAAATATTTGAAAAAAAAAGTTTAAAATTATACAAACAAAAATAAACACTTCCAAAATGCGACAGAACATATATTGTTTTAATAACTTTTTTTTTTTTTGCACGACGTACAGATATTTAAATTCCCCCCTTTAATTATGGCAATGGCATCGGCCATTAACGCATCGCATCCAGAACTTAAATCTAATGGCGCAATACCATCCGCACTCGTCCGTTTTAATGCAATGTCCGTTACCTCCAATGGTGAACTTGTTCTCCTCCACAAATGTTGTCTTAATGCAATCTCCATTATCTTGATGATTTCCACACATCACTCTTCCTTCTGCCGTCTTTATATTGTTCGTTAGTATATCTACGTAAATATAAAAAAATACGTTCATGATTAACATATTTAAATACGATGCATGCATATATATATATATATATTCGGATGGAGTTTCGACCTAGAATTGGCATAAAACGAACGCATATTTTACAATTTTTTTATTGTTCGTATTATTAAAAGATAAACTTTGCAATTCTTATGACTTTTGAAGATTTTACTCACATGAAGAGAGGAGAAAGAGAAACACGCAGAACAATCCCTTGGAGCCCATGGTTTTTTTTTTAATAAGATGGATTTTTTAATTTCGGAATGCAAATACGAGGCCTTGAATTATTACGTTGAATTTCCATCGAGCTTTTGTGAGTTTATATATTTGTCCATGCAAAAATAAACGTAGAATTAGTATGCATTCGTTTCTATTGGATTAATTGTCCTATTTGGTAATTATCCTTCCTATCAGTTACATTTAAATGGTAATAAAAAATTACAAATATTTAAGTAATTTTGGTAACGGATGCATAGATTCGGATATTAAAATAAGCTAGAATTTCCATAGAGCACAAAAAAGTTAAAATTTTATAATTGGTATGAATTTGATTATTTGTTTATTTGGGACCACCAGTCACGCACCTCACCGAGCACGCCGGAATCTGTAAGAACTGCGGCGGTGGCGGAGGCGAAGCTGCTCCAGATTGCTCCGGAAAGCCGTCGTTTTGACTGTTCTGACGGTGCAGCGATGATTGGGTGCCGCCAAACACTGACAATGAAGAATGGGAACGGAGAGAGAGGAGGCTTTTGGGTCTGGGCGTGCGCTGAGAAATTCATTATGGAAGCAGGGGACTTGGGTTTCAAGCTTCTCGGACTGGTGTTCGTCGTTGGCGAAGCGCTCGAAGACGGCATGGAATCCGCCGGCGAACACGTGTTCGAGTACGATACGTCGCTGTTGATCGATCTCAGAACATCCAGAGGAGTTTGAGATTTTAGTATTTCAGAGTTATTTTATCGGGTTATTAATTTTAAACCAGTACGGTTCAATAATTACTGTAATTTTAGTTATTAAACCGATTCGGATGACATGGTATAGACGATGATTTGAATTTTTTATTGCTACAATCATCATTTGTTTCGATTTTTTTTATATAATTTAACATCATATTTTTATTGAATTGGAAAAAAAATTGAGAGAACTTTTGAAAAAATCTTTTGAGTGTTTTATATTTTTTTAAAAAAATAGATATTTATATACTATTTTTCTTTATTATATATATATATTTTTTTAATGCGTAAGTAGTAAGGAGATTTTTTTTTTTTAATATTTTGTAAATATTCTGTATATGGGAGCGTGTGATCGATGCAGTACTTATACTTTCATATGTCAGTCTTATGGGCTTATTGGGTATTCTTTTTGGGTTTATTTGGAAATATTTAAACCGTCATCTCTTGGACCGGGTTTTACTATTCATACATAAAAATCGACCCAGTATTTCCGAGTCGAATACTCGAACCTATTTGCGTTATTGTTTTTTTTTTTGGTGATTTAGCAGTTTTCAATCTTGAATTCATTTAAAATTTGTACTTTATTTGTTATTTTTCATACAAATAAAAAAAAAGTAACGATTGTAATTCTTTCTTCATGTAGTGAAAAATGGTAACTTTTATATTAGTATTGTGCATTCATTTGCATGGCCTATCTTTCCATCTCGTCATTATATAAAACAAAGTCTATTTTCGCCAAATTATTTCATATATAAAAAAAAAAGTAAGTCAACATAAAATCCTAAAATTTGGATCTAGTAAATTGCATGTTTATGATACCATATTTTCAATTGCCAAATTAAATCGTGTCTTTTAATGCCTAGGATGATATTAAACTATTTCAAATTATGGTTTTATCTGAATGTGTTCTGAAAATATTTGAAAAAAAAGTTTAAAATTATACAGACAAAAACAAACACTTCCAAAATGCAGCAGAACATATATTGTTTTAATTAATTGCACAACAGATATTTAAATTTCCCCTTTAATGATTGCAACGGCATCGGCCCTTAATGCAATAGTACATCAAGAACCTGAATCTAAAGTTGCAATACCAGACGCAGTCATAATTCTTAGTGCAGTCTCCGTTACCGATATAACCTCCATAGGTGAAGAACTTGTTCTCCTCCACAAAGGTTGTCTTAATGCAATCTCCATTATCTTGATGATTTCCACACATCACTCTTCCTTCTGCTCTCTCTATATTGTTCGTTAGTATATCTACATATAGATATTAAAAAAAAAATACGTTCATATTTAACATATTTAAATACAAAATGCATGTAATTTTGATAATAAAAAAAAAAGAGGGCATGTGTATATATAAATTCGGATGGAGTTTACGACCTAGAATTCGCATAAAACGAACGCATATTTTACAATTTATTATTTGTATTATTAAAAGATAAACTTTGCAATTCTTATGACTTTTGAAATAATTACTCACATGAAGAGAGGAGAAGGAGGAACACGCAGAACAATCCCTTGGACACCATAATTTTTTTTTTATTTTTTATTTTGGAATGCAAATACGAGGCCGTGTCTTGCTACGTTGAATTTCCATCGAGCTGTTGTGAGTTTATATATTTCTCCATGCACAATAAACGTAATTTTTTTTTGTTGAATTAATAAACGTAGAATTTAATATATAGTATGCATTCGTTTCTATTGGATTATTGTTCTGTCTGGTAATTATCGGATTTATTTCCGTTGATATATCTTTCCTATCAGTTACATTTTTAAATGGTAAAAAAAAAACTACATATATTTAAGTAACTTTGGTAACGGATGCATAGGTTTGGATATTAAAAAGAAGCTAGAATTTCCATAGAGTTTTCACACAAAAAAAAAGTTAAAATTTATAATCCGTATGCATTTGATTATCTGTTTATTTGGTTGTTATCTGATTTGATTTTAGTATATGTTAATTTCCATCGATAAGTCTTCCTAATCTCACAAACTTAAATGTCTTTGATAAGCCAAAAAAAAAAGATTCCATAAACAGATTGATTTGTTTTCTTATGCGATAACTAATTTGAATATTTAGATATATAATTTTTAATATGTAGCAGCAGTACGATCCTCCTCGTGATTTTTTCAATAAATCTTTAGCCCAAAGTAACAAAAAAATCTAACCATTAATCAAAATAATATATATATATATATATATATATATATATATATATATATATATATATATATATATAAAGTAGAATACTTCGTTTAAATCGAATGATTTAAATTTAAAAAATAAAGATATAAAAACAATTCCGGAAAAACAATAAATAAGAAAAGGAAAATTGTGTTAGCATCACTACGCGCTCCAGTTCCAAAAAATAACCGATTTTACGAATTGTTACCAATTTATAGTCCCGAGAAATGAGAGCGTGTTATTGACGCGCTACATCTGCGCATATGTATCGCCCGTCTTTTGCTTTTTGGGCCTATTAGGAAATATTTGAGTCCTCATATTATGGGCCGGGTTAGACTATTCCTAACCGAATCTCGACCCGGAATTATCGGGTCGGTCAAACCGGGTTGACTCGTTTCCGGTCCCTACAATACTGTTTCTCATTTTTTTATTTTTGGTAAATTTTGTTCTCTTTGAATTTTTCCCCCTTAGGTTTATGATTTGTAGACGGTGAAAGGATTCTGAAACAATTAGGATCAGAAAATATGTATATATTGTTAAATATAATTTTCAAAGTTTATGATTTTTTTTTCTCTCGATTGTTTAATACATTCACAGTTTTATATGGAATTCGTCCTAAATTATATGTGTGTAATTAATATAGAAATTGCGATTTTTATACCTATTAACATTAAACTATTTCAATTATGATTTTTTAAAAATATTTTTAATGTATTGTGAAAAGATTGAAAAAGTGAAAAAAAAATATACGACAAAACAGTTTTTTTTTTGGTATGATATTCTAGATGTAAGAAAACATTTATTTATTTTGGGTTAACTTATAAATATTTTTTTTTCCTTTAAGAAAAAATCTAGATGTAAGAGAACATTTATTTATTTATTTTGGCTTAACTTATAAATACTTTTTTTCCCTTTAAGAAAAATGGCAATGGCAGTGGCCATTGATACACTCCATAATTAGGCCAAGTCTAATGGTACAATACCATTTGCAATCTTGCGCCGTCTTGCAGTTCCCTTTTGGTCCGAACCTGAACTTGTCCTCTTCCTCTAAGGCTGGTTCGCATTTGCATTTACCATTCTCGCACGTGCTTCCTCTTGATGAACATTTCTCCTCGCATTCTAAGTCGTTCCGGCAAACCACTGCTTCCGTTCTTTGATTTCCATTTGTAAGAATAGCTGTAAATATAAAAAAAAATGGTCATATCTTTTTAAGATATTTTTGAATTTATATTTTTTTTTTGAGAATTGAGCATCTATTCGGACTAATTTAAAAAAATCTCTGTGAATTTCTCTTTTCAAATTGTAGGGTTACGTCTCATTATCATCGATTGAACTGTCCAAATTTAAATATTTTTTATATAATTTATAGATAATGTTATTGATTTAGTGATTATATAAATTTTATCGAACTCAAAACTATTTACTTACGAACTTTATTCTCACCTATTAGCATCCACGCCAAATCAAATGCAAAAAAAAAGAAAAAAAAATCATATATAACGAAAGTATATTCTACATATTATATATACCACCAAATGATAAAGTTTGAAATTCTTGTGTTATACAGTCATTACTTACATGAAGAGACGAGGAGAAACGCAAAGAGCAGTCCTTTGGTGGCCATGGATTTATATTTCTGTAATGCTATATGAGACTTTGTATGAATTATTATGTAGAATATCTTGTGAGCTTCTGTGAGTTTATATATATATATATATATATTGTTCATTCAAAAAAGTTAAACTTGTATAATTAATATGCATCTGATTATTTTACTATTTGGTTGTTATAGGAATTTAATATATGTTTACTTCCAATGACACGTGACACTCTTAAATGTTGGTGATTGATGATAAAAAAAGATTCCTTAAAGCAGTGGTGGGTTATTTTTTATGTGACAAGTATTAATAATATTTAAATATATTTTTTTTTCAATTTCCACTATTTTGTATATTTCCGCAGAATACGTGGTGATTTTCCGTGTATATGTTTAGGCCAAAGTAAAGAACTGGCAATTAATTAAAAAAACATATAAAATAATTTATAGGGCAGAAGACTTTGTTCAAAACGGAGTATTCTAATTTGTTAAGAAAAGATTTAATGATTTTTTAGTAAATAAAAACAATTCTGAACAAAAACAGAAGAACGGAAGACAGAAATCAACCACGCGCTCTGATTCTGCAAAATAACCGATTTTACGAATTTCGGCCAGATCCAGGAAAAACTGGAGCGTGAGATAAACGCGCTAAGGATGCGCGTCGGGATTTACATTCTTAAATTTGAATATAAAGCCTTTTGGGCTTTTTGAGGTTTGAGCCTTCTTCTTCCTTTAATTCTTTGTGGGCCTATTTGAAAATACTGCAAGCCCACGTATCTCATGAACCGGGCCGAAACTATTCATGACTAATAAATCCCGACCCGGAAGTATCGGGTCAGTGACCGTGTCCCAGAAATTCATATACTGCATATATAGTGACTGCGTATTGAGTCAAATTAAATCGTAGGCAAATAATGATCAATCTCTCTCTCAATTTGATTATAGACAAAAAACATAATAATAGACTTATCTTTTTTAACAATTTGAACACGTGGCGACACAGACTCATCTCTTGCCTTTGATTTTAAACTTAGAATCTCAAGATTCTCAACACCAATCCCACATAAAAGAACATATCACAAACTTTATAAATAAATAAAAATACATCTGATAAAATATGCTTCAGTGCGAATTTGATGAAGTTACTTGGATCCAGGGATCAGGGTTCTTCTTGCCTGAATCTGAATGACAAATACATAGCAACCAAAAAAAAAAAAAAAAATTGGACAAAATTTCATACGGTGTAAAAGTTAACTAAGAAACTAAAAGGAAGCTGAGAGAAGAGGGATCTGGAGGCTAATGAAAGTTCTTATAACCCAAAAACCGAATCCGAGTCGAATATAAAATTAACCAAAAGACCGTATTTTTTATTTCATCATTCAGAACCGAAGCAGAAACAAATCGAATCTAACATAAAACCTGAATGAATTTAGATTTTCTAAAACTGTAAGAACCGTACCCAAATAAAACCAAACCGAAATCCGAAATATCCACACCTAGTAAAACGCACTGCTGTAAACTCGAAACAACCTTCATAGAAGAAGGCTAGTTAGTTACCTTGGAAGGTCCTTGATTTCAGGGGAGAGAAGACCCATCTGTTCAGTCAGCTTGTCCATGTGTTTGGCTCTGTCCTCGTCCCATCCATTTTGCTTCTTCTCTGTCTCCGTCTCATTGCTCCCAGTTCTAACATCTCCTGACGCTGAATCCATATCATCTGCCACCGGACTTGACGCGAGATAATCTTCCAGGAGGGACGAGTAATCGACCAGCAGGTCCATCTCGGGACCCGGAGGAATATCATCAATGTCAAATGGCACAGAACCATTCGCCAACAGATCAGAGTCCACGAAAGGAGCATAGCCTGTAAACGGCTCCATGAAAGTCTCTGCAGGGACCTCGGCTATGCCTTCTGGAATCATTTCCGAAAATTCAGGCAGAGTCAGATCAGGTGAATCCTTGGTTGGTTCTTCCGATTCTGGAAACCTGTCGATATCTGATGATGGATGAGGCAAGGAGGTCGGTGGCATCTCCTGAAGAGTCACACCTCCCGATACATGGCTTGGTGAAGAAGTATCGTTACCGAGAAGGAAAGTGTTGTCACCACTTTTATAAGGTTCCATCTTCATAAGCTGTCTGATCATTGATTTTGCTTGCTCGTGCATTGGAGGCTGATATTTCACAATCTGTCCATCAGGAGAAGCAACATTCTGATCCTCGGCAATCCCTTCTTGCTTCAACCTCCGTTTCTTATTAGCTTCGCTAATGCATCTATTACCTTCATTTTGTTGTTGTTGTTGCTGCTGCTGCTGCTGGAGAAACTGAGCAAGAAAATGAGGGTTTTGTACTGCCTTTGCGAGGAATGACATTATTTGCTGCTGCCGCTGCTCCATGCCCTGAAGACGTTGGACCATCTTTTGAAGTTGGTTGTCAGTGCTTTGTTGCTGTTGTCTTAATCTAACGAGCTCCTGCATGAGGACGTTTTTGTCCCTTTTAAGCCTCTCAACCTCTTCTTCTAGACCAAATTTCCCAACTTCAACACATGCACCAACAGACGAGTTCTGTCCATGTGAATGCTGATGTCCATGCGCAGGTTTTCGCCTGGTAATTGTTTTTAGCAGGTGTCTCTGACCCCTTAAGAAACCTTCATTTGCAAATTCCCAACGATCAGGGTCAACCTTTCTGAAACCCTGTTTCACAAAAAAGGAGCAGCCCAATGGAATGAGCATAAAGATTTAAATAGGGCAAACTTAAGAACCATGAATAGAAACCTAAAGGCCAGCTGGCCACAAATTCATACAGAACCAAAGTTAACAGATACAGAAACACAACTATGTGAAAGAATAATATGCCTCAGAATCAATTTCCTCAGAAGTAAGGCATAGCATAGGAGTAGTTATCAACTTGACATCATGGACAAAAGAAACACACAAACTAGCGTATAACCTTCTGCTCCCGTGATGGCATTCTATCCAATAGCCACACCAGAAAGACCAGAAGGTCCTCTAGTAACCATGAAGAGGAGAGTCCAAACTTTCTATAATATACAAGCTCAATCACCTTAGATCTAGAGATACAACAAAATGAAAAAGGAGTGCATATAGCACTTGGATATATCGCACAACAACATGGGAATTTTATAGTACATAATTGAAAAGTCGTGCCACATAGACAATAACTAAGTGATGGACATAACGCTAAAATTGTAAAGTAAATCACAGAAGAAATAGTATCCCCATCCGCATGCTAAAATAATTAAAAAAAATCAAAATCGCAATCTTACAGCCTAAAGCACCAGTTTCTCCAACCAAAGACACTGTATAAGCTAAATCTCAATTCAACTACAATTGTTTTACATGCATATATAAGCAGATGATAACTTAATCTAATCGAAACGATAAAGACCTGACCTATGAAGGGCCATAATGATACACACAACACCTGACTTGTTGCTGCAAATGACATAAGCCAACCGATATCCAAAGCTTGCAACACCACATACCCACTTAACTAATAGCTAAGTAAAATTTTATATGCACTATCACTTACATCCCAGGCTCTGCCGAATGAAACAAACTTTGACATGTATTAGTTTCTGAAGACTACCTGTCTCCAGAAACCCTGATTCATGTAAAACAATAGGGGTGTAGTGGTAACAGGACATGATCAACATGAGATTTGCTCTCTTATCCAAGTTTCTTCTTTCTTCACCTTTATGTTGCTGAGAAAATGCAGAAAGAGTTGTTATAATCACAGACAATCACCACATCTCATCTCGTACATCAGAAGCACAACTTTTACACTTATTTCTCATTTCCATGCCGTAAACTATACATACCCACACAGGCAATGACAAGAAAAACTACGAGTAATAGTTCGAATCAGCCACGCTCGAAAAAACAGACAAGGGCTCCAAGTATAATTCAGCCGATCTAATCCTTCTCTGTACGCAAGGAAGCCTCAGTAACAGGCTTACCAACCATGTGATACTAATAGCAAGGACGGCCATCGTAAAATTTATGCAGAGATTGGTTCACTCTCATCAGCAATGAAAGCCATAAACCAAATGAAACTAAGTTGAGAACGGCATGGACCTAAAAGTTAGGCAAATAATTTGACGCAAAAGCATAATTCAGTATCGAGAAAGGAAGAAAAAGGTGAAGGGAAAAGGAAATACGTAAGTATTAAGCTGTCTGACAAAGCTGGAGAAATTATTGTGCTTGAAGTACTTAGGAAGGAGATCTCGAGCAAACTCCGGTGGATTCCAGACGACGAAGCTGTTGTTGGTAGGGCTCCACGACACAATCGAGTCGGTCGCAGGATCATTGACCATGTCGTACGTCTTGCTCAGGAACGGAGGGGGCGCGTTTGCGTTCTGAACCGCCATTGGCTGCGGCTGAGGAGGAGGCGACGGCGGCGGCGCCGATACTCCGCCTCCTCCACCGGCATCGCTTTTGGTTGATTCTCCCTTGCTATTGCCGCTTCTAGCATCATCCATTACGAGGGTTGAAGTAAAAAACGGGTTTGATGAACTCTTCAACCGATCGATACCCTAGGGTTTCGACAAATGCTAAACCGAAAACGGCGTTAATGGAGTTATCCCGTGCAAGGATTCTCCGATTCCGATACTATATGAACAGATAGAGGAAACGAACCAGAGAGAGAAAGAGAAGAAGCCGCGAAATCTCGGAGGAGGTTTTTACTGAAGGAAGCGATGGGGGAGACGACGGGGGAAAACGGAATGGGGCGACATTATGAAACCAGATTGCACTTTACAAAAGAGAAACAAAAGTGGGGCCTACAATTTCCACGTGTCAATTTTTGAATGGTTATTGTTTATGGGCCTAACGAATGTCCACATGACCCATTCTGAATGGGCCTTGTTAGTAATTCATGTGGGCGGAACGAACTTATTTATTGGGCCGAGATAAGAGCATATCTGTCCTAATTTTAATTGGGCTCGAAATAAACAATTATACAAATAAGTGATGACAATTATAAAGGTTAAAAGAAAAAGTGAGGATTGGATCGGGATTTTGAACCCGACGTGAATCGAACACGCAACCTTCTGATCTGGAGTCAGACGCGCTACCATTGCGCCACGGATCCCAATGGTTAATTTAGACCAAAGCACAAAGAGAATAACCAAGACCGTTGGATTCAAGCATCAATAAAGAGACAAACACGTTTACATTGCCTAATATATATTTCCCTAATAGACCGATCAAATTCGCAATGAAAAAACTGCCCCTCCCTTATAATTGTATTCCGCAAAACAATCGTTTTTTATAATGTTGCAATGGCTTGAATAAAAAACGTGTATGTATTTCGTTTGAGGGTTCTTGACCTTTTTTTTTTTGTTTATCCTTCAGTGTGTTGCTTGCAACCCTTTGGCCCATAGTGCTGAGCTGACCGCCTAACAATCTTCTTGCACAGATAACAGTAATGCACTTGGCACGCCCAGCAGAACAGGTGATTGTTGTTACCCATCTACACAAATCCGTTCAATCCCATCTCATCAATCCCGTAAAGACGGAAATTTTTCGGTTTCTAACGTCTAAAACAAGGAGGAGCCAGAGTTATGTACGTATATAGTGCATAGGAGCCGAGTTAGTTTACCTTTGCATTGAACTGACGGCAATTAGGGCATAACTGACCGTGCTGGCCAAACATTTGAGCTTGAATCTGGGCAATGACTTGGCGATTATTTACCCTCTCTTCCCATTGTTGGACCATCTCCTGTGGGAACAGATCACAGGTTCCCTCCCTTCAAAAACCCAGGTTTGGTTAAGTTCCAACACACATGGATATATATATATATATGTGTGTGTGTGTGTGTACCTGAAATGCTCGTATCCGGTTATTGCCTTGTTGCAGCGATAACAGAAGTATTGGCCGCAATTATCGCAGACCATCTTATTACAACCTTCGGTTTTAGAGATTGCCATCTTACAAGACGGGCATTGCTTAGCGTCCTTAAGTATTTCCTTGACGCTGAGCATCTCATTAATCATTTCGCGTTCCTTCCTCCTTTGTTCCTCTCCAAGATTCGAAGAACTCTGTCGTTCCTGAATAAGTAAATGAAACAGAATTCGCTTCAGAGAACTCATATCCTCAATGAGCAGTCAGAAAAAAAAAAATACAGTAGATGGCAAGTTAGTAAAAGCATTCAGCTCTTTAAAAAAAAAGAAATACTCCTGCAGAATTGGCTTGAATCAGTTAGTAGTAACCATGATAATAAATATGAAAGGTATGGGAATGTTACCTGCAAGATTTGAAGCCTCATTTCCGCGCTCATACAAGCAACACCCACATGTCGTTTTTCTCTACAAAGGGTACAGAAACTGAAGAAACACTTGAAGCATAAAGCATGCTGTTCTTCATCCTCTATGCAAGGGGTTTCACATCGAGGGCAGTACACAACATCGGTCATGGACTCTAAAGTTTTCTGTAACATCAGAGACTCCCATCGTTCAAACTCTTCATCTCCAAGTAATCTCTTTAACACACCTGGTGGGACCGTTTCCCGGCACCCAGAGTCTGGACATTGAAGCTTGTTAACAGTGCCCTCAGAGACATGTATATCAGTAAAGCTCTTCATACACTTCCAACAGAAGAAATGCTGGCATGGCAATTTAACAAAGTCGGTACCTGGTGAGGGTTGGAAAAAAAACATTGGGGATGAGTTCAATAGTGAAATCTACAAAACCAAAATACTGAAGCAGGCAAACAAACAAAGAGCTTACCTGCAGATTCAGAGAAACAGATACAGCACTCGTGTAAGCTCTTAAGGAATCCCTCGTGGCATTTTTCATCATTATAACTCCTAATATAAGGAATATCTGTGTCTGGGGAGCGGCTTCCTGAAACCGCACGTTTATCTCTGGAACATGTAACGCCATAAGGACCGAGAATGATCCCTTTATCAAAGCCAAGATGAGAAAGAGAAGAATTCTGCAGCCAGTCTACCCATTGGTATAAAACTTCTTGTCCTGGCTGAGCCATCCATATGGAGTCTAGCATAGAGCAAAGACTGGAAATCTTATCAGGGTTCAACCATTGAACACTGATTGTAAAATAAGGAGGCAAGTCACTCGGGTAAGTTTTGGGCAATAAGCATGTCAACACAATCGGTGGAAGATGCTGAGTCTTGAATGAATACAAAAACTCCTCGGATTCTGCCGGTAAATTTAGCTTCGCAGTTACAGTATGTTCACTAGAAGCTTCAACATCTACATGAATCTGCAAATCAAGGAGGGTACTAAACTATAAGGCAGTTCTGCTGAAGTCAACATGTTATACAAAACGAAACTTGTCAGTAAGAAGCTCATTTCTGACCCGAAAGTATCGCATGTCTTTATACCGCTCAAAGATGAAAATGTTTTCTCCGTAGATGTAACCTAATGCCAGAAGCTGCAACCAATTCAAAAGGAGGTAATATATATATAAACCCAGCAAGTGTATAATGGACAGAGAGCAACAAGTAATCCAATCTGTTTCTTTCTTAAGTCATGATGGCCATCAAAGGTTGATGAGTTCAAGTCACAATCTAAACCACAACACACGGAATTAGATGGCAAACCACTTACACTGTAAAAGAGGCCAAAATTTTTCAAGAATTGCAAAATGCCAACAGGAAACAATGGTATCAGTTTTTTTACTCAGATTAGAACCCTAAATTCTATAGTACCCATCAGTTTCTTGTTACTAAATTAATTGCAAAATGATCAAAACTCTTAGATTCGGGGAAAAAACGCATGAAGAAATACCAAGTCACGAACTTTAGCACAGTTACCTCATCTTCCTGAGATTGTTCATTCATCTCTAGCTGTTCTTCAGTCAGTTCCGGTTCACTGACGCTCGATCGCAGCTCGTCCAGAATAATCAGGATGATATCTTCCTTCTTCTGATGTTCATTGGCAGCAAGAGTTTCTTCATTTTCAACAATCTTCATCCCAGTGTCCTCACAATTCGAGTTCTCACCAGAAATCGAACGAGCCCTTTCATCCGTATTCGAACTTTCTACTGAATTCGAAGTATTCCCCGATTCCAAATTCGACCTGTTTTCCAAATTCAAACTACTCAACCCACTAGTCATACAATCCGCGTCGGATTTCGGAACCTCTGCCTCCGATTTCTCCACGTAACGCGATTTCGCTCCACGATCGCGCCGAATTCGAGACGCAGACCCATAATTCCGGCGAGATTTCGACGGGTTTTTGGAATGATCGAGGTTCTGCAACGGCACTGAGGACCCATCAGCAGCAGCAGCCATTTCTTCTTCCTGATTCTCCGGCGGTTGCTGCTGCCGGGGGTAATAGGCGGGCGCCCGTCGTGTCTTCCTCCGCTTGTACTGGTCCCTCTCATGGCGGTGGCGATCGTAGCGAACGTGAGACGTAGCCTGAAGGCTGAAGCATAGAATGGTCGTTAATAGTGATCGTTTAGGCTGTTTGGACTCAATGGGGGCCTTTTGGGCTTCAAAGCAGCCCAATACAATTATGGTAGAAAAGGAAAAGAAAATCACCAAATTTTAATTCAGAAATAAATACGAAGTATTACGAATGATATTTTTGGATATTTTTTTGAAAATATATTATATTTGAAAAAGTTACTCACATGATTCCGAACATCTTCTAGAAACTGAATCTTCACTTACCTTAGTTTCCGATCATTAACAATATTGATAGATTAAATGGTTCGACATGCTCAAGCAAGCATCGTAAATCCTCCATTATTCTGTCGCCATGCATATAAAATTATAAATTGCCGTTGGCATCAAACAAAACAACTATTCAGAAAAAAAATACAAGTAAATAATATATATATATATACATACATACATATACCAAGAAGTTGTGTGTGTTTATGTTTATTTGAATTCGTTGTAATATATATATATATATATTATAAGTATATATGTCGATTCAAGAAGATGATAGAACAAAAACAGATGTGGTTGTTTTCAGCTCTTCTTCTCGCATCATGTCTTCTCCGATATAAGGCTCTGGTGGCTGTCGTCGTCGTGGCCGC